TGGAGAATGTTCCATGTGCACTAGAAGAGAATGTGTATTCTGTTGCTTTGGGATGGAAAGGTCTGAATATATCTGTGAAGTCCTTCTGGTCCAATGTGTCATTTAAAGCCCTTATTTCCTTGTTGTTTGCTTAGATGATCTATCCATTGCTGTGAGGGGGGGTGTTAAAGTCCCATACTATTATTGTATTATTGTCGATGTGTTTCTTTGATTTTGTTATTAATTGGCTTATATAATTGGCTGCTCCCATGTTAGGGGCATAAATATATAAAATTGTTAGATCTTCTTATAGGATAGACCCTTTAAGTATGATATAGTGTCCTTCCTCATCTCCTATTATGGTCTTTGGTTTAAAATCTAATTTGTCTGATATAAGGATTGCCACCCCAGCTTTCTTTTGATGTCCATTAGCATGGTAAATGGTTTTCCACCCCTTCACTTTCAATCTGGAGGTGTCTTTGGGTCTAAAATGAGTCTCTTGCAGACAGTATATCAATGGGTCTTGTTTTTTTTATCCATCTGATAACCTGTGCCTTTTGATTGGGGCATTTAGCTCATTTACATTCAGGGTAACTACTGAAAGATATGAATTTAGTGCTGTTGTATTGCCTGTAAGGTGACTGTTACTGTATATTGTCTCTGTTCCTTTCTGGTCTATGTTACATTTAGGCTCTCTCTTTCCTTAGAGGACCCCTTTCAATATTTCTTGTAGGGCCAGTGTGGTGGTCACAAATTCTTTTAGTTTTTGTTTGTCCTGGAAGACTTTTATCTCTATTTTCATTGACAGCCTAGCTGGATATAGTATTCTTAGCTGCACATTTTTCTTGCTTAGTGCCCTGAATATATCATGCCAGTCCTTTCTGGCCTGCCAGGTCTCTGTGGATAGGTCTGCTGCCAATCTAATGTTTCTACCATTGTATGTTACAGACCTCGTGTCCCGAGCTGCTTTCAGGATTTTCTCCTTGTCTCTGAGATTTGTAAGGTTTACTATTAGATGTCGGGGTGTTCAAAGATACAAATGTAGTGATCCGAGGGGGCACCCGCACCCCAATGTTTATAGCAGCAATGTCCACAACAGCCAAACTATGGAAAGAGCCTAGATGTCCATCAACAGATGGATAAAGATGTGGTGTGTGTATGTACACATATATATGTATATATACACACAATGGAATATTATGCAGCCATCAAAAAAATGAAATCTTCCCATTTGGGCATTTTGCTAAGTGAAATAAATCAATCAGAGAAAGATAATTATTATATGATCTCACTGATATGAAGAATTTGAGAAACAAGGCAGAGGATCATTGGGGAAAGGAGGGAAAAAATGAAACAAGATGAAACCAGAGAGGGAGACAAACGATAAGAGACTCAATCTCAGGAAACAAACTGAGAGTTGCTGGAGTGGTGGGAGGTGGGAGGGATGGGGTGGCTGGGTGATGGACAGTGGGGAGGATATGTGCTATGGGGAGCACTGTGAATTGTGTAAGACTGATGAATCACAGACCTGTAACCCTGAAACAAAAAATACACTATATGTTCATTTAAAAAAAATTATCTAATGAAGAATGACAGAAAAAAAATGATGTCAGGGCGTTAACCTATTTTTATTGATTTTGAGGGGGGGGTTCTCTGTGCCTCCTGGATGCCTGTTTCCTTCCCCAAATTAGGGAAGTTCTCCACTATAACTTGCTCCAACACACCTTCTGCCCTCTGTTTCTTCTTCTTCTGGGATCCCAATTATTCTAATATTGTTTTGTCTTATGGTATCACTTATCTCTCGAATTCCCCCCTCATGATCTGGTAGTTATTTATCTCTCTTTTCCTCAGCTTCTTTATTCTCCATCATTTGGTCTTCTATATCACTAATTTTCTCTTCTGCCTCATTTATCCTAGCAGTTAGAGACTCCATTGCCTCCATTTTTGATTGCACCTCATTAATAGCCTTTTTGATTTTGACTTGGTTAGATTTTATTTCTCCAGAAAGGGATTCTCTAGTATCTTCTATGCTTTTTTTCAAACCCAGCTAGTATCTTTCATCATTCTGAACTCTAGTTGCGACATCTTACTAATGTCTGTATTGATTAAGTCCCTGGCAGTTGGTACTGCCTCTTGTTCTTTTTTTTTTTTGAGGTCAGTTTTTCCATTTTGTCATTTTGTCCAGAGGAGAATAGATGAATGAGAGAACAAAATGCTAAAAGGGTAACAACAACCCCAGAAAAATAAATCAGAAGAGACCCAAAACTGGGGGGAAAAGAAAGAAAAAAAAAGAATATGAAGAATACAATTAGACAGATGAATATAACAGAGCCACACACTAGATTTTGGGTGTATTTTGGTCTGTTAGAAGAAACTGCCTCCCAAAATTTTAAAGAAAAAAAACCTCATATATATACAAAAATAAGGGTAAATACAATGAAGGGATGGAATATTGCTGTAAAAATGAAACTTAGAGTTTAAAAAAGGAATTGATAAGATGCTGGTTGAAAAGAAGAAAAATTCAAAAAAAGAAACAGAAAAAGAAAAAATAAAGAAAAATTAAAAAATTAACTTTGAAAGACTAAAGAATCATGGGAAAAAAGCCATGAATTCTATGTGCTGTATTCCCCCAGCGCTGGAGTTTTGCAGGTCTCATTGATCAGTACACTTGGTCTTGGCTCTTGCTAATCTGGGGGAGGGACCTGTTGTAGTGATTCTCAAATGTCTTTGCCACCAGGTGCCCCAGGTGGAATCGCCCCGCTCTTGCCTGGTCTGGGCTAAGTAATCTGCTTGAGTTTGCTCTCGGGAGCTTTGGTTCCCTGAACACTTTCTGTACAGCTCTAGAGGATGGGAATGAAAATGGCAGCCTCCCAATCTCTGGTCCCGAGGAGCTGAGAATTCGGGGCCCCACTCCTCAGTGAGCCCTCAGAGAAAAGCAGTCAATCACTCCTGTCTCCCTGGTCTCTGGTTGCATTCCATGCTCACTTGGCCTGTGACCCAGTGTTTCTATCTCTGGCACCCCACCCCGTGTGGAGTCTCCAAACCCAGCAGATGCCTGCGTGTGCTGCTCCTCCCATGGGGAGAAAGGGGACTCTCCCCAGATCTGCCAATTGGTGGGTCCCTGCTAGAAGAGTAGTGGCCGGACTGTGCCACGGATCACGGTCTATGGCAACCCCAAGCTGAGAGTCCACTCCTAGGCTCACTCTTTGCAGCCGGCTTCCCGGCACCAATACCTGGGAGCCCTGCTGCACTCAGGCACCCCTGGTCTTTCTGTGACCCCAAGGGTCCCGAGACCACACTGTCCCAGCGAGGGTTCCACCCCCCGCTTAGCCACTGGAGCGACGTCCCTCAGCAGAGCCGACTTCTAAAAGTTCTGATTTTGTGCTCCGCAGCTCTATCACTTGCCAGAAGCGGCTGACAGAGTCCACCCCCCACTCCCCGTCTATCTTCCCGAATATCGCCTCGGATTCAGTTCTCCACATGTCCTACCTTCCAGAAAGTGGTCACTTTTCTGTTCATAGAGTTGCTGCTATTCTTTTCTTCCATCTCCTATTGAGTCTGTAGGTGTTCAGAATGGTTTGATATCTAGCTGAATTCCTGGGACCAGACAAAATTTAGGTCTCCTACTCCTCCGCCATCTTGCTATACCCCCGAAAGCTCACTATTTATAAAACAGGATTCACAATCAAGGCAAAGGGGCGGAGTACTGTAGTTGCTGTATTCAGTTAAAACAGATGAATAAAAAAATCAACATTTATGCTTGAAAACATATATACCACTTTCCACAAAGTTCCTAATTTTGCAAATGAAAGCCTTAGAACCTTATCCAGTATTACAGTGTTCGCCCTAATGTTTTATATTCCCAGTATCATTTTTAAAGGTTCTAAAGTGAGTCTACCCAAGAACTTGGCAACATCTCCACACACACATCCAATAATCCCCTCTTGACTGAAACCATCAACAGCACCCTAATCAACTTTTCACTTACCCCGACTTGCACTCCTTCACATCCTTCAAAATCTGGCTGTATTTATACTACAACTACCAGAAGGCATTAATTTACCTCTAAGTTTTGACACCCAACCTCTTATTTCCTCTTCAATTTCATTAGTTTCGCTTTTCCACTGAAGGGACACTTAAAAAATACATCAACAGCACAATTACAAAACCAGTGGCTGCAGCCAGAGTCCGAACACACACACTGATTTCCAATTATATCCCTCTCGAGGCTGCTCCTACCACTGATCAAAAATCAGCGGACCAGGAAGAAGGAAAAAGCTGCGGCAGGGAGGTTGTTCCCTTCCTTCCATTCCCTCCATGCCTGCCCCCGCCCCCGTCCCCCAGGGCCACACTGCGACCTCATACACTGCCCCTCCACCGACCCGCCCCCGCTGTCACCCGCCACTGCCTAGAAAACAGTCATAGCCTTTGTTAAAATGTCCATGAGCACAATGTACCAGAAGACGGACACATTCCCGGGGGCGGGGTGAAGGAAAGTCACACGAACGCCACACCCTCTTTGGCACTAGCCTGGGGCGAAAGCCCACCTTCCCCAAATCCTCTCCCCCGCGACAAGGAATGTTCCTGGCAACTCTGCACTCTGAGACGGCAGCGCTGCGGGGGGGGGGGGGGGGGGGGCGGGATGGGCCCGGGACGCCGCTCAGGGGCACCCAGCGGGGCATACTGAACTTGAAGCTGGGACAACCTCCAGCGCCCTTGGCGAGCCTCCCAGTCCTGCCAAGCCTGAGTAAGTACTTGCAGCCTCCGGAGCCCTTCCCTTCTATTTTCCTCCTCACACAAACCCTCACCCACTCCCGCCACCACGCACTCCGCTCCGCACGCAGCCGGGGCTGGACACTCTTAAGCAGAGCGGCCAACTCCCCTACCTCACGTCCGGCCAGTTTCTCCTCCCGGGACCGACGCTTCCCCGGGCACTCACCCGCGCACTCCCCGAACCCTCCCGGGATGTTCGGCGTGAACCAGGTTCCCAGCCAGCAGCCCAGGGCCACCACCGCACTCACCGCGCCCTGGGCGCCGCTCCTCCGCGCTCTGGGAGCTGCCAGCCGCGCCTGCGCGCTCCCACCGCCGACGAACCTAGTAGGAGCCTGGAGCCGGGAGCGGAGGGGCAGGGAGGTGGAAAGCGGTGGGGGTGGGGCCCGGGCGGGGTTAGGAGAGGAGGGGCGTGGCCAGGCAGGGTGGGAAACAGCGGGCGCGGAGCCTCCGCCGCCTTGGTCCGGAAAACCTAGTGCTCGGGGCACCCGGCCGGAGTTTTCCACTCTTGAGGTCTGTTGATAACATTGGCAGAGAAGTTTTCTGGTCCCCTCGGTGCACCCCCACACTCATCCTCGAGAAAGCGCGCTTGGCTTGGGGCCAAGCTAACCAGTCCCCGGGGGCCACCACGCCTCTCCCTGGAGCCACCCTGGATCCTCCCTAGCTAGCCTTTCACCTTTTTGCATGCCTATCTCCCCACGTATTATTCCCCCACCCCTATCCTCCGCGCCTTTTTTTCTCGCGCGCGCAGTCCTCAGCCCTCCAGAGGTGAGGGGCTTGGGGATTTCTCACCCACAGACCGTCTGTGCAGCGTATCCTGGTTAACGTGTCTCTGCTGTGTGCGAGCCCAGAACGCAGTGGGTGACTATCCAACCAGAGACAGCTGTTAAAGCTCAGCACTTTTCCTGAGAACAAACTCTACTGTTGCTGTTTCTACACTTTTGGTGACAATACTCTGCTTTCTTCTTAAAAAGATTCTTGAATAAGCCTACCCGAATATCTTGGGAAGAAGAACACGGGTTGTCAAAGAAGACGCATCTTTGACCCTGCTTTTTAGGTAGCCACCTTAGAATCTGAGCCTTCTAAAAGCCCCTCTGAGAAACAGAATATTCGGCCTGTGTTGTGTGGGCTTTGCCCTAATGGTTTCAGGTTTTCTGGCATTTAGCATTTTAAGAAGCCCAACTTGATTATTATTCCATGCTGCATGCATGCTTAGTTTTAAGTTCTCTGCTTTTACGTTTCAAATCTGGTCAGCTGTGGTATCTCACGTGCCTTCGGATCAGCTATTAAAATAAACACACCTGAGCGAATCCAACGTGAATTGGCCTGTGGGCCCAAAGTGATTTATTCCAAATTACTTTTCCTTTCTTCTTTTTGCTTCAGTTATGATGGAATTGAGAAACATTTGGCTAAGAATAAAAGAGCTGCCACAGGGCCACACCCCTAGTCCTGCCCAGCAACTGTTTTGACTGTGATGGCAGCATTTTTGGGGAGAGTCTGGTAATTGCCCTTAGAGATCTGAATATCCTGAAATTCTTCCCATTAACTTTTGTGGTTCTTCCATTTGTGTATTTTACGAACCAGACTTTCTTGAACTCAAATATTTTTTATTTGTCAAATAAGTATAAGGGGAATGTAGTGAAGACATACTGTAAGAGGGTATGTATATTGGTAAATATAAACACAGACTATAGGATGAATAAATCTGCAAATGCCTAGAAGTAGGACTTTGTCCTATTCATTTCACTGACAATGTTTCACATACAGAAGATGCCTTAAAAAACCCCACTCGGTTAATAAAGGTAATTTTTGCATTCTTAATAGATGTGTATATATGTGTGTCAACTTTCATTTGATTACTGGGTTTATTTTCTTATTCTGTGCCTGAGTTGTCAGGATATTTTCATGGAAGTGACTAAAAGTACAATGAAGTAGCTTAGGCAAAAAGAGAAAGTTATTGTGTAACCCAAGCTGTGAAAGGGTAAGTATATGAATGACTTTCGGAATAAAGGGAACAAATAACGTGAATGCTTCAAATTCCAGGTAAGGCTCTCAAACCAGCCTCTTTTAGACAGGGTCGTTCTTTCAGAACATCTGAAAGGCATGTTCTGTAGGCTTAGAACCATGGCCTCTGACAAATTGTGGCCTCATACCTATCAAGTCGTTACCAGACAGAATGAGCCTCTCTTCCCTCAGTTCCAATTTTTAGAACACCAGATAAAGAGCATGATTGGGTAAGATCAAGTAACATAATCATTCTTGGAGAAAAAGTACATGTGTGACATAAGAATGGTACCCCCAGTAGAACCACTTAGTTGGAGGGGAAAAAAAAAAAAAGAGTAAGGGTAGTTGCTATTTTCAGAACAAGAGAAAAGTGCTGGACAGATAAAAAAAAAAAAAAGTTCACCATGGAACAAATCTGCTTAAGGAATACAGCCTTGAAATTATCTTTTACCTCTCTCTCTTATTCAAGTATTAACCATTCTCCTTAATAATAGTTTTCTGTGGCTGCTTTAAAAAAAAAAAAACCCAAAAACGTAGTGCCTTTAATACAACACAAATTTATTACAGCTCTAGAAGTCAGAATTCTGAAAAGGGTCACAATGGGCTAAAATCACGGTGTCAGCAGAATTGAATTCCTGTATGGAGGTCCCAGGCAGAATCCTTTTCCTTGACCTTCCACATTCTAGAGGCCACCTCCTTGGTTCATGGTCCCCTTCCATCTTCAAAGCCAGCAATGACATTACTCTGACACACTGAAAATTCTGCCTACTTCTTCCACATTTAAGGACCTTTTTGATTATATTTGGCCCATCCAGATAATCTCATATAATCTTATTTTAAGGTCAGTTGATGAGGAACCTTAATTCCATCTATAACTTTAATTCCCCTTTGTCATGTAACATAGTATTTCCACATGTTTTGGATATTAGCACATTGGCACTGCAGGGGTGGCATGCATTATAATCCCTACCACAGTCTTTATTTTCATAAAAACAACAGAGCCTAAATCATTAGTTCCCAAACTGGGGTGCTTATAAAAATTACTGATGTCTTATCTGGATACCACCCCCATATATCATGATTTCTTTGGACTGGAATCCATGAGCCCTCTAAATACACACACACACACACACACACACACACACACACACACTTGATTGGATCAGGATGGATAGGGAGGGAGTATCTCAACTATGTTGGGGCAATCAGAGAACTTCCCTGGGGATTTAGAATGGGGAGAGGAAATTGGTAAGACTGGGTGTCTGGGGCTATAACAAAAATGTATGGGCTACGCCATCAGGAGAAATAGAAAAAAAAAAGTCTGGAGGGGATAGAAGAGAGGGAAGAGACAGAGAAAAAAGTAGAGTGGAGCTGAGTGTAGATCCTCAATGGTTGTCTGCCTCCTGATTACAATAGCATTCTTACCCATGGTTTCTATGAGGTACCACCGCATTCTCATAAGAAAGGCTTATTTCTTCGACAAAGCAGGAAAGAATATCCAATGGAAAAAAGACAGTCTCTTCAACAAATGGTGTTGGGAAAATTGGACAGCCACATGCAGAAGAATGAAACTGGACCATTTCCTTATACCATACAAAAAACTAGACTCAAAATGGATGAAAGACCTAAACGTGAGACAGGAGTCCATCAAAATCCTAAAGGAGAACACAGGCAGCAACCTCTTTGACCTCAGCCGCAGCAACTTCTTGTTAGACACATCTCCAAAGGCAAGGGAAACAAAAGCAAAAATGAACTTTTGGGACTTCATCAAGATAAAAAGCTTCTGCACAGCAAAGGAAACAGTCAACAAAACTAAAAGGCTACCTACAGAACGGGAGAAGATATTTGCAAATGACATATCAGATAAAGGGCTGGTATCCAGTATCTATAAAAAACTTCTCAAACTCAATATCCAAAGAACAACTAATCCAATCAAGAAAAAGGGCAGGAGACATGAACAGACTTTTCTCCAAAGAAGACATCCAAATAGCCAACACATGAAAAAGTGCTCAACATCACTCAGCATCAGGGAAATCCAAATCAAAACCTCAGTGAGATACCACCTCACACCAGTCAGAATGGCTAAAATTAAAAAGGCAGGAAAAGACAGATGTTGGCGAGGATGTGGAGAAAGGGGAACCTTCCTACCCTGTTGGTGGGAATGCAAGCTGGAGCAGCCAGTCTGGAAAACAGTACGGGGGTTCCTCAAAAAGTTGAAAATAGAGCTACCCTATGACCCAGCAATTGCACTACTGGGTATTTATTCCAAAGATACAAATGTAGGGATCTGAAGGGGCACCTGCACCCCAATGTTTATAGCAGCAATGTCCACAATAGCCAAACTATGGAAAAAGCCTAGATGTCCATCAACAGATGAATGAATAATGAAGTTGTGGTATATATATACAATGGACTATTAAGCAGCCATCAAAAAAATGAAATCTTGCCATGTGCAACGATGTGGATGGAACTAGAGGGTATTATGCTAAGCAAAATAAGTCCATCAGAGAAAGACAATTATCATATGATCTCACTGATATATGGAATTTAAGAAACAAGGCAGAGGACCATAGGGGAAGAGAGGGAAAAAAACGAAACAAGACAAAAACCGTAAGAGACTCTTAATCATAGGAAACAAACTGAAGGCTGCTGGAGGGGAGAGGGGTGGAAGGGTGGGGTGGCTGGGTGATGGACATTGGGGAGGGTATGTGTTGTAATGAGCACTGGTTATTATAAAAGACTGATGAATCACAGACCTGTACCCCTGATGTACAAATGTACAAATAATACATTATAAGTTAAAAAAAACTGCAACAAAATTAGGAGATGGGAGAGTGGCCAAAGTGGTTCTAAAGTTTAACTATAAATATTTTATTAAAAAAAAGTCTTATTTAACTGAAGCTAGTTCAAATTATTTCCCCTTGCATAAACCCCAAACTGTTCTAATTAATACATGATGTGAGCTTAATTTTCCTCTAGTTATTTTTTTATAATATGCCTCTTGTTTAAGAAATAAGGCAAGTTTAAGAACCAAAGTGTCAGAGTTGGTATTCCAGAACTGTCTACTTCACTAGCACCGAATCTCCTAGGTATCCCATATTCTTCAACTCTTTCTTCCTCTTAATATTTACTCAAAGGCTCAGAGGGGCCTCACAAGTTATCTCAGCCTACTCCTCATTCAATAGCCTCCCTAAGACACACCAGTTGGGTATAGATCCAGTTCTCAGCTTAACTAATGTCAAGTGAATCTTAATGTGATTTGCAAATCAAATCTCTA